TTTTTCCCCTCTGGGAAAAAGAATTTCATAAGTGGGTAAAATGTTCACACCGTTTTACACAAGAGGGAATCTTTCACAGCTTTTTTCCCAAGTGGGAAATTGGCCAGTGAATGGGGAACTCTTTTCACAATTTTTGTGTGTTTTTTGCAATTGAAAGTTTAACCTCAAAAGCGGCAACTTTCCACACTCTGAAATGAATATTCATTTCACAAATTGTGAAATTTTTTTCCCCTCGGTGGGAAAAATTGTCACACTTCATTTCATTTTGTTTTATTTGTCTTAATTTTTTTCACAAATGGGAAATGTGAATGGGAATCCTTTTCGCAATTTTTCCCCCTCGTTTTCACGGGGTAAAGTTTCAATTGCAATGCACTGTATTTGCTGTACGTTTTCTCCAAGAACACTTGATACACAAGATCCAATCAGTCACTGACAATTTGAATTTTTTTCTGGGGATTGGGTTAGTTAGGTATGTTTTCAAACCAGGACCCTATAATTCTCCCCACTTCATTTTTTTTTTTTGGGGGGGGAGGGGTGTTTCAATTTTAACTTTCCTGGAAACAACTCACAAGTTGATACCAGGAGATACTTCTCAGGTCTCCCCCTTTTGTTACTGTTGTTAGGTTATCGGGTACCTCAATCTTCTCGCCAATTTCATCGACAACTTCACCCACGGCTTGGCAGTTGCCGGCAGTTTCCTGGTCAGCAATAAGGTGCGTTGCTCCGTGGACATTATTTTCTCGCTTACCTCGGTAGCATTTCACCTTGAATTTCTGAGATACTCATACGAGTGCATCGAGAGCACTGACATTCTTTCTTCTGTGATTTGATCTTTCTTAACCCCTCCCCCCGACAGGTTGGTTTACTGACAACTGCTGCAATTCTGCTGCATGAAATTCCTCATGAGGTACGTAAATGTACATAGGTAACTCGCATATGATATTCTCTTGAACCCTGTCATAATATTTGTATCTACATCTAGGTCTTCACTGATCGCAAATATAAAGCCAGATGTCTACAGTACTTTTTAGCCACAGCTTTCTTTCAGAGCTGTTTACCTTTGTACATTCATTGTGTATATTCCAGTGGATGTAATTACAGGGGGAAGAGTCACCTGACTGGTCGAATGGTTGATTGACGAGCCTGGCTGATGTGATAGACTAACAGGTGGTCGGCAGGCATTTATGTTACTCAGCTGTAATCCAATCGATGGATTGCATATTTTGCAGAGTGGTGGATTAATAGATGTCTTGTCAGTTCTTGATTGGTTGGTCGCTTCATTCTTGTTTCCCGCTTTGGTCTTTCGACACCTCAACAGATTGGGGACTTTGCGATCCTGTTGCAGTCGGGTTTCGGCAGATGGCAAGCCGCCAAAGCCCAGGTCTGCACAGCGACAGGGGGTCTCTGCGGGGCTCTGCTCGCCCTCATGTCAGAGTCGGCCGAAAAAGCAGGTAAAATGTCTGTATCCATGGAAACAGCCCATGTTTGATTTGCGTAGCAGCAGGGAAGGTAGTGTTCAACATGGTCTCCAGAATAATACAAGTGCTGCATGGTTCTTGATTGCTGCCAGGAAGATGAATGCTGCCCTCTTTTGTTGAGATGATGAAGCAGGCAACATGTGTCTTTCCTGTCTGAGGGATATTGCCTCGTACTTTGTCTCTGCCACATATTATTTAAGACCAGCTCCATTGCAAACGCTGGTGTTGTAGGAAAAACCTATGCGCACAGCCGGATTTGCAAAAGGAGAGACCATTGTCAAAGAAGCCAAGATTTTACGGGGCAACTTTGGAATGACGGTAACATTGCCAAAGCATTTTGGCTCGACTTCAAAACATTGACTGCAGCAATATTCAGAGTATACAAAGGAAGAATCATTTGTGTCAAATCATTAACACAGCCACTGGTAATGATTGACAGCTTTTGTTTTCCTCTCAGGAAAGGGGGCAGAGCTCAGACTACGCTGGGCATTGCTTACTCGGTCAAAAGTTTATTTAGTGTTGATTTTGCTGCTAAATCTAAACAAATTGATGAAAGTGCATTGTGTAAAGTATGCAAATATGTAGATAACCATGTTGGATTTATTCTGTGTTTAGTTTTACTTTCAATATCCATAACAGAAGTTGCTATTTTAGGAATTGCCACACGACCGTGTGTTTATTTGTGAGGGCACAATTTGCATTTACACTTTTCACAGTCCCTTGGTTTTGTGTACTGCCTCAGTGACTTGTAAACACTTGGTCTTCATGCCACGCCTACCCTGAAGCAGGCCCAGATGGATTCTCCTGTTTTTGTTTCTTTGGTTTATGCACAGGTGACAGTGCAGCATGGATTCTACCATTCACTTCAGGGGGGTTTCTAAATATTGCCCTGGTGACAGTACTACCGGATCTGCTGGAGGAAAGCAACCCAAGGTAATGCATATGCATAGAGAGGCGGGGCTGATGAAGCGTTGACAAAATGATTGGCTGATGTTGTTTTCTTTGCAGTTCTGGTAAATACCAGATACTAGTCGGCCAACTTGTAATAGCATGCGCACAAAATTCACGACAATATGCATTATGTCTTGCTAACAGCTGTTTTCAAACTCAACTTTAATACTCTAAGTAGAATTTCAAAAACAAAGTAAACAGGCATAGGCGAGGGTCATTACATGATGATATTTTGCATAGTTTGGCTATTAACCCTCCTATGCTGAAGTCACTCTTTGGGTCACTTGGTAAACACCCCAAAGAAGCACAGCTGTGTCGAGTGGTGCACTGCACCAACATGCAAGAGAGTGACCTTGGGCACTTGTGCATATTTGTGCTGTAAAACTAATGGTTAATGACCATTTTTCATTATATATATAAGGGAGAGCATCAAACAAGTTGTCTTTCTCCTGTGCGGCGTGGCCGTCATGGGTGCCGTCAATCTCATTGTGGACTGAAGAACAGGTTGAGGAACATAGTCGGCGTGGCCTGCCAGCTGAGAGTGCTGCCAGGCGAGAAATCGGGTCAGCTCAGACGGATCAGGTTTATCAATCGCAGTTTAGTTGATCAGCCCCAGACCGCCTCGTGAAGATCGCACGACAGTGTCTGCATCAGGTGATGGTCGTGTGGACGGTATCGACCAGGTTTATTGGTCTCCATGAAGGGGACAAAATAAGAGCTATCCCTTTGAATGATAATGTGATAATAACTGTGGCTTCTGGGTCATCTTTAAGTCTCTCGTTTTTATGCAAGTGATGTGCACAGTTCTGCCTTCGTAGCAGCGCAAACTGAGTAACTGGTATAACGTTACTCAAGTGTATCGTGCACGTATACAGTAGGTGTGTAATAATTTATCATCTTCTATGCAGGTGTCAGTGGCGTAGTCGCAAACTTGCCTTTATTTTTTTTATGCCGAGAAACTGCTTGAACTAATGCTTTTTCTGGTAATTACAGAAAAGAAAAAACTACCATTATTAAAAACCTTAAAAAAGTGAATTAATTTTAGTTATTTTATTTTGATTGCCTTTTATTTTTTTCAACCTGAATCATAGCCATGACTTCACTCAGAATTATTTTTTCACTGTAAATACAAATATGATAATAGTACTTTTTTATCAACCTAAACGTGAGTTACAGATGGACTTAATCTTAACTTAATGGGTTTTTCCAGTATTGCTGAAAAATTATGGAACTTTAATTCTTAAATACACTCACATGTATAGCGGTCAAAGAAATGTAAGCTCGGGAAGTATTGTACATATTTACAAAGGAATTTCACTGTTTCATGGTTTGATCTGTCATTAGGATTATGCTTCTGTAATCGCAATTGGTGACATTGCTGAACATTGTGTGCACTCTGCATCAGCTGAAACCAACTGAAAAGGGTCCATTTGTCGTATGCACTAATTATGTTTTGTAATTGGTACGAGTACTGACGGGTACTCCCGGTTTATAGGCTTTATGCAGTGTCCATTGGGAACGCTTCAAGGTAGTTCGCTGCAGAGCCGTGCAGAGCATAGAGGTCATAAGCACATAAGCACACAAACAACTTGGAACCCCGTAGACACTCGCACGGGCCCATGTGTGAAACGTGCACAAGTGCACGAGACGTGACACGCATCTGAATTGATGACGTCGGAAACATTTTTAAAAGCTTCATGCAGAAGACTACAGACTGAATCGTTCGAGTGCGTAAGCGCGTGCACGTTACATGACAATGCAATAAAACAGCATGTCACCCTGTTCTCGGGCAAACTTGGCGCATAATGTACAAGAACAGGCCTGACACCTGTAGCTTTACAGTGGTCCCTATGGTGTAGAGAGAGTTGCGACATGAGTGTCACCGTTGTTGGAAACAGACTGGCAGGTGTAATGTAGCAGTGCACGCTGACAGTCGGTATACAAGAGCTACATGCCCGATACTGTACACACAATGAACAGCCATTTTGTTTCCAAGCTCTGAAGCTGGTGCTATACTGTCTCCATACAACTGTAGGTCACCGCAGAGCCTTCTGTGGAGAGAGTTGTGACATCTTCAAACTAGGAGCCAGTTTTTACTCTGGAAGTGCACCCCGAGGGGCACAGGATGCGCGCTTTGCACTGGGAGCAATTCACTCACCCGTCAGTGTTTGCCTTTCATATCCGGCAAGATATGGGATGGAGGGAACCCCCCCTTCCTCCGAAACTCAAAGTTACACATCGCTCCCGGATGTCTGAAACGATTCCCTGAGATTGGGGTCAAACAATGACCCACACGAAAGGGGAGTTCTCTCCGTCCCATATCTTGCTTCAAATGTAGCATTTTGCCCTGTCCAATGGATTAACGCATCCCCATGCAAAATGGCCAACAGTATTAGAAAGGTGTTCTAAAACAACTGCGAAAGAAAGCGAAGTAGTGTTCGTGTCATGAATGTGAACAGGGCTCGAGGAAGCTGACAGTGCGTCTCTTCAGACGTTCAGATGGACGGGGTTATTATAAACCCTTGCATGAACGGATTTCTAATGACAGCTGTGTGTAACTTTTTTTAAATAAAGCAGTATATTTTAAATACTATATGCCAGAATATGTAAGAAGGTTTTTAAAGTGGTTCTTCATCGTCTCTTGCTTGCATGTTATCAGTTTGCTTTGTTTCTTTTGCCGAAAACAATGGTATGTCCGGGCAGTTGAAGACGTTTCCCTTCGTTGTAGCCCGTAAAGATATGAATGTGTTATCCGGCGACCAGAATTAGAGGATACTATCCGCTCCGAGCGGAAACAAATGAGGGCGTGGTTTTAAATGAAATTTAAATATAGTAACTATAATGCCCCTCCTCCATTTAGTCTTTAAAAAAATGATTCGTCGTTACTGACGGCCCCGCCCCTTTCAGTTGAATGTTCAGAGTGTCAGGTATCGAGTTGACACATGGAGGTACATGATAACCAAGCATAAGCATGTTGCAAGAATCTACCGTTTTTGATTTCTTCGAAAGTAGTTACCGTTGATTTACACCCAGAGTAAACAGTTGCTCTTTGGGTGCACTTGTCTTTTAAAGACCAGTATAAAATTGCACATAGGTTTTGTGTAAATAACTTTGAAATCACACAGAGCAGCTTACCCTGTGGCCGGAAGAAGCAGCCGGTAGGCCTGGCTATTAGTTTCGAACTCGGACTCTCGGCGATTATGCATTGGAAGTCATATTTTCAATAACAGATCAGAGGTCCTGCCCCCCGTCCACTAAATTTAACCCAACACCCATCCAAAATATGTAGCCTAACCCTGCAAAGTTTTCCCCCGCATGTTGACCAATAAAACGGATCTATAACCAACTTTTCCGGGGCTTTGAGGCTAAAAAAAAAGGGGGGAAAAGAAAGAAAATCGGGAAATGGTGGCAAAAAGTTATGAATTTTTATGTGTAACCTATTTCTAAAATTTTGATGAATAATTTCCCTTTCCGGAAGTTGCAATGCACTCAAAATCACAATACTGAAATCCACTTAATCAGAAACCAGATTTATAGAGCTCTTTATTGCCGGAATTCAGGAGAAATTGTCGGGCTGTTTATTCGGAGGTTAGAGGTTTTCGTGGAATCTGCTCTCGATGCTGTCGGGTTTTATTTAGCCTAGTTGTTGGAAGAACAAAGTACATGTATCCCAAACCACGACAAGGCAATTGTACTTTTTAAAATCCGTTTGTTTTGACGACTAATTTCATTTTGGGAAGTGCGTTTGTATTAAAAGCAAAAATCCCCCCTCTGTATTGCCTTCTCATATCGCCTCCCCCACAAATGTTATTCGGACAACAATTGGAATTTTTTCCCCTGGATTCACAAAACCGGAGAAAACAAAACCTCGCCAACATTTTCAATGACTTGTTTGTTATGCTTAAAGCGACCTCTTTTTCATGTAGAAATGACCGCTCTTTCGTTTACTTTGAGTTGACAATCAAGCATTAACATCGTTGACACCGCACACCAAGGGAATTTATGAAATAACGACAATATTGTTGGGAATCGATCTGGAAAAACATTCTAATTTTTGGCCCCTTGCGTATTTTACCGAGGAGGCATTTCTAAATTGTAACAACTCATTGGGAATCTCGCTAAATCACGAGCAATACTTGTAAGGTATCACCCCCCTGGACTTGCAACATCCCGGTGGAATCTTTCTGGAGAGTTTGATACGTTGAAACATCTGTAATCCACAGTTTGCCGTAGGGAAATTTAATGCATAACTGAACTGCAAAGTGAGGAGTTCTAAGCAAGTTACTATACTCTTCAGCAAGGTTAGAGTTTTCCTGTCATGTTTACATGAGTAATTATTTCGATTGTGATTGGACTCCACGTGGGGGCAGTGAAAACTTAAAGAGAAGCATGGTAGTCTTAGAGTTTTTCTCGGACTTGTCTACCCCCACCCACCATCACAGCCACCGAACTTGAATATTGCTGCATGCACTGGTAATATAGCTTGAGGGTCGTTATAACCCTCCCACCCCGTCCCACCTAACCTTCCTCTTCCAAAATAGCCTCATCGTCAACTTTTTATGGATATTCACTGTTCGATCGATTACCATTTTCCATCAGCCGACTATTGAGATTTGACTAATTAATGATTTCCCGTCTGAAAAAAAAACATCCTTCATATCTGTTTTGTAGTTTATTTATTGTTCTGGACGAGGGAATCACAGTTCGTATGGAGCACTTCCTATAGCCATGTTTTGATTGCGCGCGCTGGACCCATTCGAACAAAATGATGGTCACGGTAGCGTCTCGTCGGGGTTATGGAAGCCAGCGACCTTATCTGAGTTCTCCTAATTGCACGAAAGGGTTGTTGGGAGCCACTCAATGGAGACGGGATGTGCCCGGTCAAGGCAGTGTGGTTCGTGGCCCGCATGCCTGCCGATTTTAGGCTCTATTTTTGCCTTTCCTCCGGAAGAGATGTCAGCGCACACAAAATGGGTGAGCTGGGTTAGTACTTAACGGGCCGCTCCAACTTTTCCTGGGCCGTGGGAGTAGGTTATACTGCCGTCCGGTCCTATCTTGGGAGATGCCTTTTCACCCGATTCACACTCCCACTGTTCACCCATCAACACGCTGTAAATATTAGTCATTCAATTGGAGCTCGCTTTTTAGACATTAATAAGTTATTATTTTGGTTTGAAATTGCAGGAGCAAATGAAAACCAAGTGGAAACGGTTTCACCCGATTGAGCCCGACCTACCACAAGGGTAAAACCTCACTCATCTCAGACTGGGCATTTCCTCATTTTTCATCGTATCAATCAAACATCTCTTCAATCCCAAGCTCCTTTTGTATCATCTTTGTAGTTCGACTCTACAAAAATCCTTAGCCTGTGACACTTGTCTTGCGTTTGCAAGAAACGGACGACAGCAGTACGGCAGAATTTGCTCGCCTTCAGTGGAGCAAATTTGAAATGTGCCTCCATGAGTGCATTCAGTCAACAATAGAATTTATAGGAAGGCGAAAAAATGGATATTCAGACAACAGTCGTCGAAATTGAGAACATGCCCTGGTCTATGCCCTCTATACTTTCGGAAATACGGTTTTTGGGGTCCTGAGCTAGTTACTTTTGGACGGCTCAAATTCGTATCATTCATGTATTTTGTCCGATGACTATAGCTATTGTACTGTATAGTTACTGGATAGAGGTCAAGGTCCCTTTTCCAATACTCGACTTGGGCTCCGTCTCAGGCTGCGTTCCCAAAACGAGTCCCCGATTGTGGGCCTGAAGCGTTTAGATCAAATTGGATTACTGTAATTTCTGGCTCTCTTGCATCTCATTTGATGTTTTGTGGCACTATTAGACTGATTACTGCGCTTACAGCTTCAAAGTCAGCTAGTTAAAAACAGTTGAAGCCTGAGACGGAGCCGAAGTGGAGTATTGGAAAACGGCCAAGGTCTTGATTTGTCCGCGGTAAAACTGTGAGGTAGCTTAATTAAAGCTTGAAGCGGCTTTGGCCTTTTATGCTTAATAACGGGATGTTATCGTCTGCCTTTTCAAGTCAGGGACACGCAAGGACATCTCCAGCCCTCTGGCGACACTGATCTGCCTTAAAAGTGCACCAAGAGTGCGAAACTTGTAAATATTTCATTTAGCTTGGATTGAAACGAAAAGGTTGGCGTCTCCCCGTTTAATTGGAGTTGTGGGGTTGTAAATGGTCAATTTCGTGCCCACGGAAGCGGCTGCGGACAGCCACGAATTCTGTCGGTGGGCGAGCGCGCCCTTAAAACCTAAATGCCACCCTCTCACAGTCAGGAAATTGACCAGTGAGTGGCCTTAGGATTCCGAGGAGTTTGCTACGATCTTTGAAAAGAAAACAATAAAAACAACTCCGAAAGTAACCAACCGCAAGCATGCACCACTAGTTCATCAACAGCCAGCTCAACTTCACAAGAATAATTCTGAGCGCTGGGGAGAAATTCCCGTTTCGCCTCAAATCAGATGACATCTTTCTCCTCTCTTAGGATATTCCAGCTGACCAAGTGACGTATACTGTCCGTAAAAATCACGCAGAATCGGCTTTGATCGAATTTTAAAAATGACACGTGGGAATAAGTTTGGATGCTATGTTGCATATGTATAATTATCACTTTCTCAAGGAATAGTACTTAAATATTATTGCCTGGTATTAAAATAAAATAATTCTCGAACAGCAAAATTTGATGACAGTGGGTGAAAACCTAAATACCGTCTTTGAAATTTAAGTAAAATGTAGTTCAGCAAGCAGCCAAAATCATCTCTTTAAGCTTTAAGCCCACCGATTTACATTATGGTGCTTCTCCGAATTTCAAACCATGAGCAAAATAAAATGCCTTGAGAATGCATAGACTAAGTTAACCAGAAACTGTCCCATGCACGGTCTCCTAAACTTTAAGACGATATACAAAGATAAAATGTTCGGAAATAGATGCCGTAGCATGAGACCAAAAACACACAAAAGAGCCAGTTAGTTGCTGTCGCTTAAATCGTGTTTCCCTAATCGTAGCGCATTATAGAGCACCCCCGTAACCCTTTTTCTTCACCCACATCAGCATGGAGGCTGTAATCATAGAGCGATTTCGTGTTTAAATATAAAAGTCTATGTCCATCTTCATGGTGTCAAAAACTGACAGATAAATTTTGTTTACTGCATTGATGTGGGAACATGAAGTGCCCTGTTTGTGTAACTCAAACCACAGCCAACAAAATACCTATTCACATTTGTAAAACGTTCCTGGGAGTTGAATCACGAGGTCTGGCAGAAATGTTTTAACCATTGCGGAAACACCACCAGAGAGAACCTTCCCCGCCTCGTCTAATTCGCGTCACAAGTTATGCCGCTTTAACTAAAATCCCGCTTAACGATGGCGTCCAGCCTGGCAATGGCCACTAGCATGCCGTCCAGGATGGCCGGCAGACGAAAGGACTCTGACTGCGGTCGAAGAAGCTGCGATTTCAAGAGATAATACGAGACAGTGCATGAGAGAGTTTTTGTTATTCCAGAAATGTTGCAAAACTGTGGGATTTTGTTAATTGACTCGGAAAAAGCTGATAATAATGAGTGAAACTTTCAAGTTTCTTCTTCTT